AAAAATATATATATATATATATATATATATATATATATATATCTCATTACAACATCGTGAATGTAAGCATATTTGATGTGTTTCAATAAATCGCGGTCATTATCCTTTCTGATTATCAAATTGTCCCGCTTTGGACTATGGGAGGCTATTTGCTTTGGCTCCTCGGTTCTTCTGACACAATCCTAGTCATCTTTGATAGCTTCTCTGTACTCTGACAGATGCACTTGACAAGATGTTCCAGGTTTCATAGACACAACTTCTGTCTCAGACCTTAATAACTCATTTTCCCCCACAAGAACCTCTTATACCACACCTAGTGGAAAGAGCATTTAGAGATCACAGTCTGGGGCTTAAAGTACTCTAGTTTATCACTGTTTGTAGACCTTTTTAGTGGCGCTAGCTAGAAAGTTTATTTTTCCTCAAGGATAAAACAATCATGATTTCATACTTTACATAATACTGTCAATCTTATATCTGTTAATTCCTCTCTCCCACACTGCAACTGTACTTCTCAAAGACACTGACATAATTACTCATTTGCTTTATCCCAATATTCACAATAAATTCACAATGAAAATGTCAATAACACCACATACTACACAATTAATAAAAATTGTTTTAAGACATTGTCAGTTCTTTTTGCCCCTTGCAATATCCTACCAAAACGTCCAATTTACTGTGTTCTAAAGTCACTAAGAATAGTCCTTTCCTATGTGCTTATATCAAAACTGGGTGGATACGTATGCAGTAGGTCCATTTGTTTTATTTTCCTCCTAATTTTTTGGTATGGCTATTTTGTTATTAAATTTGTTTAACATAGGGAATAGTTCCAGTGCCAAATATACAAACTAATATATTCGGAGAAGTCTAGTTTCCATCCTCAACACCTCCACATTAGTTCTTTCTCTCCCTATCTGACCATTTATTTTTTTCTTATCATGTCTAAAATAAAATGTACCATTTTAAAGCATATAGCTCAATAGCACTAAGTACATTCACATTGTTGTGCAACTATCATCGCCAGCCCTTATATTTTTAAAATTTTATGGTTTATTTTTCCATTTTTCAAAATACGAGCAAGAAACAAATGTGTATTATGTCTGTGTGTGTATATACACACACATACCCATAGATATAAGCATAAATTCCCTCTAGCTTTTAAAAATAATATAGACTATTCTCCACTTAACTTTTTTTCACCTAACAAAATATCCTGGAGATTACCGCATAGGAATCTATATAAATATTCTTTATTTCCTTTTACAACTCCCCTGCAGTATCTGACCACATGCGCTTTCATATATGATTATTTGGTGCCAGAACGTTTGGTCTTACAGTCTCAATAAGATCAGGGGATCCAAGCAAAAAACTCACCTGTCAAACTGTGACTTAGGATCTTATAAATGTATCTGCATTATCTTTTTGAAAGAGATCAAATCGATTTAGATAGGAACACCAAACTCACTTTTTGAGTTCTTTTTAGATGTGAGAACAAATTGCTCATTTTGCTCAGTTTTGAAATCAGAACAGTTAATTTAAAGCCAGGCTACCTAATCTATAGCTAAGAGGGTATAAGATCTTATGACACCAGGGGTATTCTAGAGGTATTCCAAGTATCTCGTCATAAACATGAAACAAACTGATTCAAATGTAATAAAAACCCCCTCTCCTAGAAACATAAGCAAAAGTGTCAACCAGACAAAGCAGCAATGACACTTACCAGTTACCCAAAACCCAGAATTGACAAACAACAACAACAAAAAATTGTCATGAAGATGTTCACAGGAACAAAGGTTGCATTCAGGTAAAGAAATGAGAGAAAGTTTCTTGATATCCTGAGAGAGAGAGTCAAGTTTCAAAGGAAAACCTTACAGGCAGATAATATTCTGCTTGGCTTCACCCAAGCAACTTGTGCCATCCCTGCTAAGTAAAAGTATTGTAATTGGAGAAAGGAAAAACTCCAAACAGCTGTACAAGAGACTGGGCAGACTCACCCTGAGGGAATATCATTTGAGACCTGACATTTCTCTTAGTCTTGTTTCCAAGCAAAATCAAATTTTAAAAGAAAACTGGCATCTAACTGAACTGAATGAATAAGAAACTCACTTTCTTCCGCTTTCTCTTTTCAAGATTCTGCTTTTCTGCCAGGGACTTGATTGCTTGGATCCATGCGTCAGCCATTCGCCGGATCCGTAGTCTCATCCACCGGAATTCTTCATGCTTTTTCATCATACTATAGAGAATATTAAAATCTGTACGAATTTCCGCCTAGCAACAGAAATTTAATAAAATGAATAGAAGATAAAAAGTCAGAAAGCATAATGGTTGGCATGATGTGACATTTGAAAACTTGAAAGGGAGAGTCAATTAAATCGAGGGCTTCAAAAGTGAGTCTTGTCTGCTGCAGCTTTGACTTGAAGGTCTCAGGATTGCAAATTGAAGCAAAGGCCGCTGGCTGCTGATCTGCCGTAAGGGACATCATTAAAAAATTAGAAATTGGGAAAAGCAGCACATCCATTGCAAAGCCTTAAGCTATGTTAAAATGCAGTTTTTATAATGAGTATGCTTGATGTACCTTGAAATTTGCTGCACCCAAATTTACTGTGCCACTTGGATCTACTGCAAGGCAGGCAGCAGACTTCTAAGAAAAGCGAAGTCAATTCTTAACAGGAGGACAACATGGAGGTTACCAAATAGTCTCTTTTTGTCCAGAGTTAAACAGGGAAATAACGCTCATCTTCTAGTTTTGCCCCAGTTCAAACAAAAAGTCATTATTTTCTAAGGAATTAAAAAGCCAGTAATATGATCTTTACACCACAATGGAATACAGTTTAAAATTCAGACCAGAATAATTTAAAAGCTAGGAAGAATATTTTTCCTAATATGCTAAATAATATAGCCAGATACAACCAGTGACTGGAATAACAGAAAAACATAAAAATAACTAGTATTTATTGCACATAACATCTCAAGCATGTTGAATCCATCTTTTGGCCAGCACCATAGCTCATCCTAAACACTCATCTCCTTTCTTGACTCAACAACTGTCCAAGACTCCCACGGTTTACAGCATGGGTCAGGAAACTACAGCCCTTGGGCCAAATGCTCTTGTTTTTATGTATAAAGTTTTATTGGAACACAGCCATGCCCTTTCATTTACATATCATCTATGGCAGAATCGAACATTTGCAAGAGTCCATTCAACCTGCAAATATGAAACTACGTACTATCTAGCCTTTTAAAAGAAAAAGTTTGCTAATCTCTGGTCTAAAGAATAAAGATTTATGCCCTTTTGGGGGGGGGGTTGGAGTCTCACTCTGTTGCCCAAACTGGAGTACAGTGGCACGCTCCTGGCCACCACAGCTTCGACCTGCTGGGCTCTGGCGATTTCTGCCTCAGCCTTCCAAGTAGCCGGAACTACAGGTGCGTGCTACAACGCGTGGCTAATTTTTGATTTATTGTACAGACAAGGTCTCACCAAGTTGTCCGGGTGGGTCTCGAACCCACGGACTCAGACAATCCACTCGCCTCGGCCTCCCAAAATGCTAGGATTACAGGCTGAGCCATCAAGCCCAGCAAGATTTATGCTTTGAATGTGGCATATAAAGCCATTCCCATCCCCTCCCTACCTTTCCAATCTCCAACTCAGCTCATCCTAAACTCTATGGCTTTGGTTCACTGATCCATGCATGCTCAACTCCCTAAAACTGGCACCTCTCTCTCATCTCATATGCCCTTCTCTCCATGACCAAGTATGAACTTAATTAATCATTTTAAATTCAGCTCCCACACTATCCTCTCTGCAATCTACCCCAGCCCTTGCAAGTTGCAACGGCCTTTTCCTCATTAGTTCCCATGGGCCTGTATTATAGCTTTGTGACAGGCGAGGTCATTATTTACAACCATCACTCTCATCAGATCACTGAGGGCCTCCATCTGGCACCAGGTCTTACTCCTATCAGTAATTCATCATTTAAGAGCCCTCAGAGAATTGCTCAATAGATAAACACATGGTAACTGGTTAACTGATTTGGTCACCCTAGACTTCCACAGGGACAAATGACAGAAGTTCTTCTGTTTAACACTATTTCAGATTACAGCTGGCATTTCTAGAAGAGTTCACATGTATCACTTGGCATCTGACCTAAATGCAGAGTTTAGGAAGAGTTTTCCAAAATCACTTACCAATGAATTATGATCAGCTTCTTCGTAGGGATTTTTTGCTCTCCAAGGTAAATGAGGACACCAATTTTCAACCTACAAAACATAAATTAGCAACACTAAGTATGCTGGTCCATCTATAAATGAATTTATACATGTACAAAGTACTGAGAACAGTTCCTAGCACACAATGAGCACTCCATGAATGTGGACTACTATCATTATTAGCCAAATCCCAAGCTTTTAGCTATCGATCCAGACACGTGTCCTCTCAGATGAAACAATAATCAGTAGAAATCAGAAGGAGTACGTGATTACACTTTATATCTGTCCTTCAAAGTACTTTACAGCAATTAATTCCTTAATCATTTAATCCTCACATCTCTATGCCAGAAGACAGGGAGTGTGATGGCAGAAAGTTAAAAGACTTGAACACTGTCACCAGGGGCTAAGAACGTAAGGTGCTTCTGCAGCTACTTAGCAAATGGACAGGAATGATTTGTTATCTGCTGCAGTGTATCTGGAAAGAAAATTGGATGGCATTTGAGCCAGAGAACTCAATCATTTATCCCAGAGTCAGGAATGTTACTGATCATTTAAGGCTCATTGGTCAAGGCTTCGCTCATTTTCTGGCTGTTCACTTCACACTATCTCAAGAAATAAGATGGTAAAACCTACTGAAGAAAGAGATGAAAGAAAGAGGGGGGGAAAAACCCTCCCTCAGTGATCTTGTGAGAACCCTTTTGGAAGATGGATTGTTCTGTCAATATACAAGGACAAGGGTTTAGAGAGAGAAAAATAATACCAGAACACCAGATTTTATAGAAATTACTTCAATAAAGCTTACCAGAGACCACTAGGCAAATTAACAATTTCTAGAAAAAAATGAGAAATTCATTAAGTAATATTGATGTGTTCTCTGTCAAAAGTAGCTATAAAATTTGAAGACGGCATTATCACCCACTTACATGTAGTGAGATTATTAAAGATGGCTAATAAACAGACCTTGAAAATAATTTTTCTATGGCCAAGTGGACATATAAAATTAAACAGAGCAGGCAGGTGGGGGACACCCTTGGAGGGGTCACTGAGCTGGCAGGGATGTGTGTGGGACCATAGACTCATGGATCAGCAGAGTAGACTCAGACAAGACGGTGAGTCCTCTCAGTCTGTGTGAGTTTTCAAAGAAACATGCCAGTTTCACTAATCTGGAAGTTACTGGTAATGCAAGGTGATTTTTACTATGACCAAAAATAATTAGCCTGATTTGCATAAAGCCATCTGCTACTGCAAATGATCCCAAAGCAATAAGCAAAGGGCAGTAAAGCTTGGGGGAGGACAAAAAAAAACCCTGGCTAGGAAAAGCATAATATTCTCTTTTTTTCTTATGGAACAAGATTAGACTTTGCTATATTTGTGAATGACTTCAGAGACTCAAAAGGACTCCCCAAAAGGAAAGCTGAAATGGTTTTTACTCATAAAAAAAGAAAATGACAACTTGCCTTGGAGGCCTATGGTCTAATTACTGGGAACTTATAGCAATATGACCATGAAAGGCAGTATCTGCCACTCCACAAATGAGAAAAAAACAGCAGAAAAAAAGTCTGCCAGTGGATGAAGGCTCAGCTGGTCTCAGCAGCACTACACACATCTGCACCCCATATTCTGAGACCAGACTGAATTATTTAACTCCAATTAACTTTTTGTAAACGGACTCAGTAAAACATCCCCCCATAAAGCATGTTTACAGCAAGAAAACTTCAAATAGATCCCAGACCTGATGGTGAGACTTTTACTCTCATCCGGCTCCTAAAAAAGGAAGAAGATGAACAAACAGCACATAGATTTGAAATAAGCCTCACACTAAATAAATAACTAGTGTTAACAGACACCTTTCTGGATAAAAATATTTCATCATGAATAGTATAATGGGGAAAAAAAAACTAGACGAAATAAAGAAAATCAACCTAAAGGAGACACACGAAGAGACCACATATTGATAAAGCTGCCTCCTCCTTCCTCTGCCGCAAGAAGAATCTTTCAAGATTCACTCTGATGAAAATACAGACATATTTTCTAAAAATATGGCTTCCCTATAGAATCCTCAAGACTGTAATGCCTCTTTGAAACTGACCATTTATCTTAGTTCCTCTTATTCTACATCATTAGCTACCACTTCCCAAGGCTCCAAGGGCACCCCCTGCAGTTATGGAAAACAGAGTCAGTCCAATCTAGCTTTTAGCAAGAAATTTCACTGTCACTGTGCACTCATAATGGTGGAAAAATCGATTATGAACATCTTTTTTTTTTTTTTTTTTTTTTTTT